CCACGCTTGCTTGAGATATTTCAAGCACAACTATTCACGCAGATCTATGCTATTATTTTTTTCTTTTGGCACTATACTTTTATCAGGATTTCCCATAAAAGCCAGCTCTGCCCAAGCACACTAACCTACTGAAACACACTCCACGCTCCTGCTCTGGTCTTCTAACTGAATCAGGTTTACAAGATTCAGCATCAATCCAAACTCACATTGCATAAACCCAGTTCACAGACCCGAGTTCTTCGTGACTGGGTGGAGAGGAAGAAACATGCTGTTGCATCCCCCAGTCAGTAGCACTATGAGCTGCCATTTAAAACAGGACAAAAAGACTGTGTTACTGCTAAAGTGACAGCCTTACACAGAAGATCTAAACGGCCCAGCTTGTGGAATTCAGTGTGATTTCTAATAAGCTTTAAAAAAAAAAATAAAATCTTTCAGGAAGAGCTCTGAGATTCTTCTGCCAATTGGAATCAAATGTAAAACTAATATACGCTAGAAACCCCAGGTAGCGCTGGCACACATTCAGTCTGGCCTCCTCAGGATGTTCTCACTGTTCCACTACCAGCTGGACCTGCGGCAACCCATGGATTTCATCTAATCGTTTTTTACTCAATAATTGCACGTCTCAGGAGAGCTTCTCAAGCAAGGTGACAGAGAGCTTCAGGAGCAGAGCTGGAGGACTGAGAAAGGAAGAAGAACATTTCTAGCCCAATATCCCAACTGTCAATCTGCACTACAAAGAACAACACAAAAGCAACAAATAAAAATAATCAAGAATTGTACAGAAACCTCAGTATGGCCTTTGGAATTTCATTGGTTTTGTGAGGGGAAACTCCTTGCTCCTCGCTATTCCCATGAAAGCCCATGGTAGCTACCAGGAGGAAGATGAGAAACGTCCATTGAATTCACCAAACTGGACATATCATCCAGAAGAAGCACTTTACAACCTGCATAGTGAATTCAAACTACTACAGGAATTTTGGATCGCTACCGAATAAAAACATTTCCCTCCTAACTGACAACTCCAAATAAAGATGACCTTACTGTCTGACCCAGAAGGAATATGTATTCTAGAATACCAACAGAGAAAGAATGTATGAAATGGGGACAAGTCTTGCAGAAGCATAGAAAGCAACACTCCTAATCATCATGAGTAGTTGTATATACAAATACACACTTCTCCTTCCATACCTTCCTGAGATATTCCTATAGTTCAAGTTCAGAAAAGAATTTTTTTCAAACAAGCTCACATAACAACTGCTGCTTCATTTATCTGCGTTATTACAGTGAGTATTCACATTGGCAAATTAGGCATGAATCCTGAAAAGGAAAGCATTGATTTATTCGATACGATTAATATCCAAAATACTATTTTGATGAGCAGTGCTGCTTTGTACGTGATGCTGGCTCACATTTAATGATCAGAATGAAGAGAAACCTATCATAGACTGTTTTTTACAAGAGCATATATTGCCGTCCACAGGCTCACCTGGAAGTCAAAAGTGAAATACCCGGCACGTACCCTCTGCGACAGCTTTGGCAGAGGTATACAATGAACAAAAATTATATTGCATATTTGCTGTTCCTCTGTATATATCTCATCCACATGAGCTTGACAATCTTTTGACACCTTTCCCCATTTCACTTGCAAGTCCCTTCTTTATAGTCACAGATAAATTATTTTATCCCTGATTAGGGCTATTTTCACAACAATCTATCACGAATCATCGCCAATTATTTTAGCTACTGCTGTGAAGTTTACTGGAAGCATAACAAATTATGTTTCTCCTCAGACTTACCCAAGTGCGTAACTGAAAAATAAAACCAATTAGTCGGCAGTGTTTGTATTCCCCAGAAACTCCACAGCAACATTTGAGCTGCCTGGAGCAGCCAGACAGGGTGGCCAGAAGAGCTGGGAAGGTGGCCATACCACCCACTCTCCTGCACAGGGAGGGGGCTTTGTTCTTGAAATTAGTTCAGCCTGAAGCGACGAGGGCCATGTCCCTAAGAGTCAAAGTCAGGGTTGAGATAAACTCATTTAAAGATGTGCTTCAGATGACAAAGAGGGGAGAGTGGGCAGAAACCCAAGCGTTTTTGTTTATTTCAGTCAACATAAGCTTCTGCCAGAAAAAATAAGCAATGCCACAACCTGAAGGTAAGCTAAGGTAACCACTACTCCTCAGAAACTTTCAGGAGTCAGGACCAGAGAGTTCTGCCGGCCATGCCCTGGGAATGCTGCGCTCTTACTGGGCACCATCACTTATCCGATCTGCCTCTGCCAGGCTGAAGTCCCAAGGCCTCTTGGTTCCCGGCTTAAGTTTAAAGACTTCAGGAAGATTTCTTGGTATACTGGCTAAACCCTTCCCTCACGTCTCTCTGCACATCCCCAGGTACCACTTAAAAAATTCCATCACTTTTTCGCAGTTTAAATCTTTCAGGTATTTGGGACATTTCATAATGTCATGGCTTAATTACTTGTGTCTTTTACTCCTTCATAAGCCACCTCTTCTGTTGCTGTTGTCCTCAAATCTCCCTGACGAACGCAGCACGAACTGAACCAGACAACCCCAGTGCCGCTGCTGGAGCTGGGCCAGCGTGTGCCAGCTCTGCCACAGCGTGTCCTCTGCTGCCGGGTCCCCAATTTCACTTAGTGTAGTGGTCACCTCCATCTGCTTCAGCATGGCGCCCCACGGGTGTCCCCCCTCTCCCACGGGAGGTGGCGGGTATGTGACCCCCACTCCAACCGAGACCCTGAGCATCACCCTCTGCC